GAGAAAAAAAAAGAAATTAAAACTATTCGCAACACTAGACTTTCCACACTTTCACTTCATTCGATTATGATTCGACGCGAAAGGTACTCATCACCAAGTTAAAACGGGTCGGTTAATAATCGTGTTCGAGTCGGTATTTCGGGTTGGGTTAGCTTTTGACAGCTCTAGGTATGAGAGGCTCGTGACATTGCTTCTCCTAAAAAAAGGTAAGAAAAGAAGACGAAAAAATGTATCTAACTCTGCCTTTTTCCCTTAGTCAGGCCACCATATACACACAACACACCAATACCACCACCATTACCACCATCACTTTAGTGGTTGTTGATGAGCTTGCAAGAAAAGATAAGAGCAAGTCAAGAAGAATTATGTTGAGAAAATGAACATGAAAGACCATTTTATTTTCTATCTTGTGATGTATTTGCTTTTCTTGTACTCATTGCATTATAGACTTCGCATTTCAGTACAAATTATACATGTTTCTTTAATAAATTATACATGATTTTGATAATTATGATTATTATAATTATTATTATGATGATTATTATGATGATTATAATTTTTATGATGATTATTATTATGTTGCTTGATATTTATTTTTTATTGCTTGATCACACCTTTTTATGCATGTTTAAAGGGAACTTTGTACTTGTAATCACGCTTTAATAAGATAATTAATAATCTTTTTAGGGTTAATATGTTTATAATTCAAGTGATCGCCAATAATAGATTTATTTATGCATTAATATTCAACCAACATAGATTAAACAGGTTTAGGGTTAATCCTATTGATTGCATGTTAATCAGAAAGTGCACATAAATACGATATGAACAAAGTAGAGGTCTATTATTAGGGCAGGTTCAATCTCTTTTAGGTTGGATTTGTACCTTCATCCCCGAACCCTTATTTGGTTCAAGACCTTATGGAGTTGACGATCTCTTGGATCGTTAAGGGGTGTAACCTTCACCCTGTGAACGGTTTACAAGTTTCTAAAACTTGTTGGCGACTCTTTTGCTCTATCTTCTTTCCCTTTGGACGCCACCATACTTTAGTGTATGATCACAGTGGAGGTTAAAGCTAGGGGAAAATTACGCACATGAAATACTTAGAACTTTTCGAGTCTCATCCACTCATTCTAAATCATTGCCAAAATAAATTTCAGGAATTAAAATAGAAATCCTCCCCAGTGGAGTCGCCAAAAAACTGTAGGGAATATTTCAAGCATTATCCCTAGCTTAAACCCCACTGTGATCATACACTAAAGTACGGTGGCATCCAAAGGGAAAGAAGATAGAGCAAAAGAGTCGCCAACAAGTTTTAGGAACTTGTAAACCGTTCACAGGGTGAAGGTTACACCCCTTAACGATCCATGAGATCGTCAACTCCAATAAGTCTGGAACCATGACTGGTAGTTCGGGGATGAAGGTACAAATCCAACCTAAAAGAGATTGAACCTGCCCTAATAATAGGCCTCTACTTTATTCTGATCGTATTCATGTGCGCTTTCTGATTAACATGCAATCAATAAGTTTACCCTAAACCTGTTTAATCTATTTTGGTTGAATATTAATGCACAAATAAAACTATTATTGGCGATCACTTGAATTATAATCATATTAACCCTAAACAAGATTATTAATTATCTTATTAAGCGTGATTACAAGTACCAATTCTCTTTAAACATGCATAAAAGATGTGATCAAGCAATAACAATAAATATCAAGCAACATAATAATAATCATAAAAATAATCATAATCATAATAATAATAACAATCATAATCATAATCATATTCATAACCATGTTAAAGCATAATAATAGCTAGATCCTAGGCATGATACTAACAAGATTAATAAGAAAGCCTAGCATGTCACTAAACAATAAAAAATCAAAGCTTTAACCCTAACATGAATATTAGGAAAGAAAATAGGAAGCATCGCAGGAAAACAATTGTCATATTTGATATTAAAGTTACCCTAAACATGATACTAGGAAGATCAAAACGCCCTAACATGATACTAGGAATCATAACAACCTAGACATGATTTCTATATCATAACATCAATAAAATCAATTTAAAGTACTTACTTGGATGCCTCGTATCTCTTTCTAATAACAAAATACAGGCGTTAGTAACTTCAAGGAAAATATAATCAAACAATTAAATTAAAGAATTGAAATAGAGATTTGGGACCAAACCCTCATAATTTAAAAACCTTTTACGTCTAGGGCGAAGGCAACTTCGAATTATGCTAGGTGTTTCTTGGTCTTGTGAATGCGGAATTTTGTAAAGAAAATTAGAGAGAGAGAATTCTTAAAACTAGAGAGAATAAGAAAACTAGAGAGTATAAGAGAATTAGAGAGAATTGATAATAGTTGATGATGAAAAACGGAGGTTTTAGGAGGCTATTTATAGAGAAAATCAGCCAAACGGATAGAAAAACAAATCTGAGTTTCGACGAGGATAAAACATATTAGCGCCAGCTAAGGCTAGCGCCAGGCGCTAATATCTGTCGCCAGGCGCTAATTATTATTTTCACGCGTTGTCTTAATTCAGATAAAATTTAGCCGTACAGAAGGGCAAAATCGTATTTTCCTTAAAAACACTCTTTTATTCTGATTAAAACTCAAAAAAGTTAACCAAAGTCAATTTATCGACGCTAATTGAATTAGGAATGAAAAGAACCTTCTAGAAGAATCTAGAAGACTAAAATCAATTCTAATTGCATTAGGAATGATAAACCCATATTAGGCCCTCCTCTAGATCATTGGGCCGCATATAAGTATCAAACCGGGCCCAGTTTAGTAATTTGGCCATAACTTCCTCATTATTCATCGGAATTAGGCTTATAATATATCGTTGGAAAGCTCTTTTCAATCCCCATCCAATTACAACATTATTAGACCCTGACTATGGACCAAACATACTGATTGACTGTTTTCTTAAAATAGGTTTTCAAAAACAGAGAGAAAAGAAAAGAAATTAAAACTATCTGCAACACTAGACTTTCCACACTTTCACTTCATTCGATTATGATTCGACGCGAAAGGTACTCATCACCGGGTTTGGTTTTTTGGGGAGACACAAATGGATGTCTACAATATATATATATATATATATATATATATATATATATATATATATATATATATATAAAAATTTCGGAAGATAGAAATATATTTCAAATAATTTAAAATTTTATTTTAATTAATATTAATAATTAAAATTAAATTAAAATACAAATAATCTTAGTCTTTCATTTTAAAAAAATTGTGGTAATCAAAAGTCATAAGACTAAATTAAATTAAAATCATGTTATAACTACATTAAATTGTGGAACCTGCATGCCGAATATTCTAGTTGGAATTTTATTAGAGTGGTAGTGCTACTTAAAAAAAAAATTGGTTTTTTGACAGGACTTTTTAAAAAAAAATTAATAGACAGTTGTTTTTAAAATATGCACTTTAATTGGTAGTTATTGACAAAATTTTCTCATATATATTATACATACATTTATGATTATAATAATAGTCAAATAGTTACCCTGAATATGGTTAGCAACAATACAATATTTTTAAAGTTAAAGGGAAATGATTTTGCCGCGAAACGTTGCTAAAGAAAGTGCTCGCTCTTCTTGGGTACAACTAGAGCTGTCAATTCGGTAGAAAGATCGGGTAAGTGTGGGTCGAGTCAATTCAGATCGGGTCCATTTGGATTAATGTCGTACCCTATGCGGGTCAGGTTCGGGTTGGGTCATGCTTGCGTCGGATCACGTCGGGTCATACACCTTATCGGGTTTGGGTCGAGTTTAGGTCAGGTTAATAACATGTCGGGTCACATTCGGGTCGGTGAATAATAGATCGGTTTAATTCAGTTTTTCACGAGTTAAAACGGGTTAGATTCATTCTTGAGTTCGAATCGGGTTCGGTTCAAGTCAATAATTTGCGGGTTATGATCAGGTCGAGTCATTCTCGGATTTGAGTCGGGTTTGGTTCAAGTCAATAATTTGCGGGTTATAATCAAGTCGGGTCATTCTTGAGTTCAAGTGGGTTTTATTCAAGTTAATAATTTTTGGGTTATAATCTTTTACTAGACTGACTTGGCTTCCCTGCATCCAAGACAAAATACTTTAATCAACATTAACATAGTAGTTTCAGCCTTACAAAGTTACGACTAAACAAGTAGATTAGAGTATATATAGCATATATCTTCATTTAACTAGTCAATATCTACAATAATAAAGATGTATAAAATAATAAGTCAGAGTTTATTTTGAGTTGGGTTAAAAACAAGTCGACTTGATTTTGGGTCGGGTCAATAACAATTCGGGTTGAATTCGAGTCGGGTCAATAACAAGTCGTGTTGATTTCAAATCGGTTTTGTTACAAATCGGGTTGAATTTCGAGTCGGGTTAGTAACAGGTCGGGTTAAATTAGGGTTGGATTAGGAACAGGTCGAATTCAGGTTTGATTAGTAACAGGCCGGGTTAAATTCAGGTTTGACGGGTGTTAAAACAGGTTTGAGTCCATTTCAGTTCAGGTTGGATTCGGTTTAGGTCAATAATTTACGGGTTATATTCGGGTTGGGTCATCTCCAGGTCGGTTCATGTTCGAGTTCGGGTCTCAATTACTCGGGTTAACTCGGGTCTAGGTTGGTTTCAGGTCGGGTGAGATCGGGTTCGGGTCACCATTTTTCCAAGTTAAAACGGGTCGGTTAATAATCGTGTTCGAGTCGGTATTTCGGGTTGGGTTAGCTTTTGACAGCTCAAGGTATGAGAGGCTCGTGACATTGCTTCTCCTAAAAAAAGGTAAGAAAAGAAGAGGACAATGTATCTAACTCTGCCTTTTTCCCTTAGTCAGGCCACCATATACACACAACACACCAATACCACCATCACTTTAGCGGTTGTTGATGAGCTTGCAAGAAAAGATAAGAGCAAGTCAAGAAGAATTATGTTGAGAAAATGAACATGAAAGACCATTTTCTTTTCTATCTTGTGATGTATTTGCTTTTCTTGTACTCATTGCATTATAGACTTCGCATTTCAGTACAAATTATACATGTTTCTTTAATAAATTATACAAATTCATTCACTTAATGTACTCTAGTCCATATTCTTCTCTGTTCCGAAAAACTTCCCACCACAGCAGATTGGTTCTTATTACCAATTCGATTTGCAAATGAATCATAGTATTTCTTTTCATTAACACTTTCTAATATTCTCACTTGTGTTCCGTTTTTAGCATCTATTATCATTTGTCCATCTGTATCTTCACTGCCTGTTGCAAGGACTTTGATCGGCTTAACTTGGAAGCTCGAGTTTATAAATGGATAAAAATCAGCCAAGATTACAGCACCAAGGATCTCCCCCATAAACATACCCTGCATCAATTTTATTATCACTTCACTTTTTTATGGTATAACTTTCATGTTTTTATAAGATTAAAAGTAACAAAAGTTCGTAGAATTTTAACAATTTTAGCTGACTTACCACATGTTGATATTGATATTGTTTTTGTAAGCTAAGCAGCTTCGACACAAGCCTGTGTGTAAACCGTGCTTCTGGGGTGTTCTCTGCCCGAGAAAGCCTGTTTAGGAATGAAGGAATCGAGCTAACCTGTCGCTGAGCTCCCAATGGAATCAATGTTATAGGAAGTTTGGATTCAATCACCATGTTTGCAGACAAAGGGTCAAGAAACATATTGAATTCAGCATATTTGTTTGATGGCATGGTAAACAGGTTCCCTTTGCCATAAGTACCATTAATATTTATGTGTCCTCCTAAAACAAACACATCCTGAGACATAAACGTATTGTCAGTGCATGTTAAACAAGGTATAATGGAAGAAAAAAAAAAATTCTATTTACCAACCTGAATTTTAGACACTGCATTTTTATCTAAAGAGAGTATTTTTGATAAGGTTGTCAATGGTCCGTTCGTTAATATTGTTATCTTTCTCTTTTGACTGATTGTATTTGTAACATTCTCCCATATCTCTAGTGCTAGGGGTTGCCGCAGTTCAGGATGATCGGTATCACGTGGAGCTCCGAATTTTACAGAGTTTTCTGCAGTGTACCTGAAACCAAAATGTTAAAGAGTAACTTTGACACTCTATGGAGGTATCATGTACATATAGTTCATTTAACAAATCTACATTTATGCAAAGGATAAGGCGTAGGATGAATTTAACCTTCTTGGACTGCGTGGTAAATCTCTTGCAAGTCCATATAAGGTGTCAGAGTCCAAAAATCCACCACTCCCATGAGGGATTGCTTTCACGTATTTGCAGTCTCCAACGGCAGAGTTCACAGCATCTGACTGGTTTCTTGCAAAAGAATCTCCTAGACCTACCTTAATGTCATCTCGGCCCATCATATGCAATACGTCGTATACAACATCTATGGTTGCAGCATTTGCCCACCCTGTTGGAGTTACAAATATTGCCTGGTTCAGAAACATTTGCATCAGATGGCAATTGAGGAAAATTAAATTCATTCTTAGAAAATTAAACTCTACAAAATCAAAGAGATCTAACGTACTCGGAGATCGAGTACTTCAACTGGCACTTTAAGTAGGTAGAAAAGAGCAAGGAAGTCTCCTGGACTCATATCCATGTCAAAAATGACAGGCTTTCCGAGCTTTTTAGCTCTCAAGTCTGGTGTATAAAACACTTCCTTGTAATGAGGAAATTGTGTAGTAAGGTTGAACCTTCCAGATTGTTTAGGTCGATTCAAAACCTGCACATAATAAGAATGCATATTAATTGACTTCTTTTTTTCATTTATCAAATTTGAATAATAAATATTTTTAAAAATTACTTACATCCAAGAAGTTTATGAAGAACTCTCTGTCAAGAGGGCTACCAGGATCCTTATTTGACTTAGCTCTTGTGGCAACAAGAACTCGTACACCGCCATGACCTACCTCCTCAGTATAGCCATCCTACAATATATATATTTGAGGATGATCATATAAAAATGTTAAGAAAAATATAAAAAAAAAGCATAATGAAAACTAAAACTTGAAGCATTAACATAGATGTTACGAAAATCTACCTTGCATCTTCCTTTATTATTCTCGACAATACAGAAAGGATCTCGGAGTGACTTTTGTACATGACCACTGTGCACCCCATGTTTCTCTAGGTGAAACTTTGGCGTCTTACGTCCATCAAAAAAAGGATTTGATCCATCTAATACCCCATAAGGCTTGTTTGAAGTACGGACAGTTATGCTCATGTACTCCATTTCGGCGTAGTCATTTTCACCATTTGTGTTATTTGGAGTACTCATGATCGAGACTGCTACACCGGCCATGAAAGAGTCCCACATAAAATAGCTCTGAAAATTAAAACAATTGTATACTACCTTAGCATACATCGTAGAATCCATCTAACATTCAAGAAATCTCACCAATAGTTGTGGGAACATACTGAGTAAAATTGGTCATTAAACCAGGTATCGCGTTGAAACTTCAAAGACTTGAAGCAATATTGAGCCTCATAGGTCTTCTGATTCGACTCGAATGCTTCAAAGAATTGTTTTGTTATGGGAATTGTGTTTGTTGCATCTAATGGCACAAGTGTAATCGGAATTCCTGAGTGAACCACCTATTATAAAATATAAAACCAAACCAATGTATATATATGTCTTAGCACATGAATAATATACTTTTGCCAATGTCTCATTATTAGATTGTCAAAAGATTGATCAAATCAACCTGGTACGCGGCGAAAGGATCTCCAAACATGTTAAACTCTGCATAAGGGTTACTCGTATAATCAGTGTACATGTTACCATGATCACCACACTGCTCGGGCTTACACGAGGCGGTAGCATTTTTGGGGCAACAACCTGTTGGATTCTTTGATCTCACACCTCCACCCATAATATATATGTGTTCAACATTCTTCTTTAGCAGGGGGTTACTCATAAGAAAAAGGGCAAAATTTGTGTGTACCCCAATAAGAAATACAGTAGTTGGACCTTTTGATATGACATCAATCATCACTTCTTGTGATGAAGGTTGATGAAGAGGCAAATATCTTCTTCTTCCCTAATTCCATATTGAAAACTTAATTTCATTAGCTTAAATCCTTGAAAAATAATTTTAACTTGTGCGTAAGTGAAGATGAACACGATCAAAGAGGAACTACATTAATTAGAGACTTTGTAAATGCCAAATAAGTTAAACTTTCCACGACACAGGAATTGAAGTAATACTTCCTCTTTTCTAAATTAAATGATACATTATTTTTTCGCCTATTTCACCAAATGTCACTGAGTACTTACAAAATTCACCAAATGTCATTAAGTTTTCAAAATTCGTCAAATGCCATCGAGCTTTTAAAAAATTCACCAAATGGCATTAATGACTAACAGCCGTTAACTTTATTAGTCAATAAGAATTAAATTATGACACGTGTCATGATAAGATTGGTTTATTTTAATTAATAAATATAATACTTTTTATTGATTTTTCTGGGCAAACATTGCTCGGGTATAGTTTTAAGGGTCATTTTAACCCTTTATGACTACAAATTAAGCTCGGAATTGACAAAAAAATAACGTTAATGCTCCGTTTTGTGTTTTAAAAATATTTCGATTAGCGTGTTATTTTTTAACCGTCAAAATTGATCGGGTGAGGTTTTAGGGTCATTTTGACTCTTTATAGGTACAAATGCTCCGTTTTACGTGTCCAAAAATATTTCGATTATCGTGTCATTATTTTTTAACCATGAAAGTTGATTAGGTAAGATTTAGGGGGTCATTGTAGACCCTTTATGGGTTCAATTTAAGCTTGGAATTGACAAAAAAAATAACATATATGCCCCGTTTTGTATGTTGAGATCGTAATATTTTTTTCAGGAAAAAATGCGAAACGGGGTATATACGTTATTTTGTTGCCAATTTCGAGCTTAATTTGTATCCATAAAAGGGGCAAAATGACCCCCAAAACCTTACCTGAACAATATTTGTAACGAAAATCGAAAAAAGTGTTATTTTTATTCATTAAAATAAATAATTATTGTGTATTAATTTTTAAATGTAAAGGCATTTAATTTGGTGAAATAAGAATTAAAAAAAAATATAAGAATTCCATTAACGGAAAACTAACGTTCATATGCTATTAGTGGGACGAGGTATCATTGTATTGTTTGTCAGTGATATTTGGTGAATTTTGAAAACCTTGATGGAATTTGGTGAATCACAAAAATTCAATTGAATGTATATATTTACTAAAATGCAATCACATGTACCAAGATCCCACCTCACTATATATTTTCGTATCTATAATTCACAAATGTTGTTAAAAGTGAAATGGGTAAATTAATTTGAAAAAGGTGGAAGTAATACTGGTATTTAAAACATGTTTATAAATTTCCGCCATTTTTTAAAATATTAGGCTCTGTTCACTTCTTCTTATTTTTTTTGAACTAAAATTATTTTTACTAAACTGAAATTATTTTTGCTGAACTTATATTGTTTTTACTGAACAAAAATTAACTTTAGTGAATTGAAATTATTTTTGCTGAATTGAAATTATATTTACTGATTTTCTATTATATTTCTTTTTAATAGTTATTGAACTTTACTTATTTTTACTGAACTAAAATTATTTTCACTGAACTGTACTTATTTTTACTGAATTGACCTTAATTTTAATGAACTGGAATTATTTTTACTTTATATTATATTTTTTAAGGTGAAGTAAACATGGCCTTATACGTAGTAATTAGCAAATGAGACTGTTTTTTAAAGTATTACACTTCTATTTTTGAGAAACTTTCCTATTTTAATATCATACTCCCTCCGCCCACTATTATGCAATAAATGATTATTTTATATATCATAAATAATAAGGTTCTGTTACACATAATAGTGGGCGGAGGAAGTAAATCTACCCCGTATCTCTCTTTCCATGGTCACCACTCAAAACAAGTATTGTGTGTTATTTTTTTCTTCTTACATCCATCAATTTTCAATAAAATATTAACATCACTTACTTTTTTTTATAATTTATTTTACCCTAACTATTCCATTGATGCCCTATTCACTTCAACTAAAAATAAACAATACGAAGTATTCAATAAAAATAATTTTAGATCAGTAAAATTAATTTTTAATCAGTAAAAATAAGTTCAACTTAGCAATTTATTTTAATGTATTTACCTGGGGAAGAAATGATTTACGAAGACCAAAATTTGTATCAATGTCCAATCGTCCACCTTGACCAATAGGAATGGCTTGCCTATATCGACAATATCCTGCGGTTGTCATGCCCTGTTTATCAAGAGATTTAGGCAAGAATTTGGAAATCTTACAAAAATTAACTGAACTAAACTAAACTTATTGGAGATGAACTGAACTAAACTAAATATTTTATGAGAGAAGGATATTAAGAACTTAACTGAACTTAATTTAAGTTAACTTAATTTATTAGAGCTGAACTGAACTGAAATGAAAATAATATGAAGAGAACAGACCCTTACTAATATCTATTAAGGCCCCGTTCACTTCACCTTATTTTTGCTGAATTGAAATTATTTTCACTGAAACAAAATTATATTTGCTGAACTTAAATTATTTTTACTGAACTTAAATTAATTTTACTGAACTGAAATTATTTTTGCTAAACTAAAATTATTTTTACTGATTTTCTATTAAAATTCTTCTTTAACAAAATTGAATTTTACTAAACTAGACTTATTTTTATTGAATTGAAATTATTTTTACTGAACTGAAATTAATGTTATTAAATTGAACTTATTTTTACTAAAGTGAAATACACATTTTTCCTGTCACCGAATTAATTTTTTTAATTTCACCAAACATTTATCATTTTCACTTTTTACCTTATTCACATGCAATACTTATTTAAATTTAACACTTTAATGAAGGATTTGACCATTACTAATAACAAGTATATATAACGATCTTGCTAACGAGCTCCCCAGAGCGTTAGATAAGGATAAATAATATTGGTTGAAATGGTATTAACTTAGGAATTCATGACAAAATCACGCGTTGTTCAGTGTAATTAATGTTAATTTTACTCTAATATTTGCACTTTAATTCTCTTATCTAACGTCCCGGGGGCGCTCATTAGCTTTTATAATTTTGTTTAACACGGAAAATCAATTTTATTTATGAACAAAATTGTCTCGTTAGTAAAGATTAAAATTCAAAAAAGTGCAAATAATATTGTAAAAACAAATACTTGTACGCTATGATAAAGTTGTGCACAAGAATTAGATTATTCATACTTCCTCCGTTCTTTATTACTTGACCCGTTTTGACTTTTACACTATTCACCACCCCTTCTTTGACTGTCTTTTGTGAATAATACGTAAGAAAAAATATATTCATGTATGATCTTTTTGGATTCGTTTCAATAAGTACTATCATAATATATAACTTTTATAATTTTTACTTATGGAGCATTTAAATTATTGATCGTTAAAGTTTTACATTAGCAAGCGTAATAAAAGAAACAGGTGAAGTAAAAAAGAACAGAGGAAGTATAACTTTTCTAACAGATTTCTCTCTAAAAATGAGAGCTTCTCTCTATAGGAAACTAGAGCCTTCTTCCTAATTTCCTCCACCGACTGGCCATCCTCAAATCCTCCTCCGAACTACCTCCTTTGCAAAGTGAATTAGCTAAGAATTGAGTAAAGATCAATAGTTTTCAATGGAAAATAATAGCTTTAGTGGTTTTTCCTTCATTACTCTGTTCATTTCGGTCGGTGTTGCGACCTGGTTCACGAAGTTGTTTTCCCCCGATTGCTTCTTTCCTCTTTCAATTAAAATGGTAGAACTTCAATCGAATCAGAGTTCTTGTGGTTGTAAACCCCAAAATAATCGATAGTCCTTAAGCTACAACCCCTGTTTGCATCTTCTACTTGTATTTGGCAGATTTGTAGACTACCGAATTCTTAGAGACTCGAATTCAAGAGTGGGTATCAAAGCAGTGGATTAAATTTGGGGAAATTAAAGTCCAGAAGTTCAACTATATTTTTCTCTTCTTATGTGACAATGTTCGTGACAGGGATGCTATGTTAGAACAGGGTTCCCAGAGTAAGCCGACCAGAAAAAGACCAATGTTGTTTGTTAATCCATCCTTATCCCCTTTGAAGAAGAGGATAATTCACATAGAACACGATACTCCTTTTAAACCTGCTCCAATTAAACTGTGCCAAACATCAACCCAACCTATGCTCTCAGTCCATAAAAAACCCTTGCACGCTCCGCAAAGAAACCAACATTGTCCTGATCCTGTTAACCATCACCTGCCAATAATATTAAGTTAAATACAAGATTCTACCCACACAAACGGCCAAATTTTTCTATTTCATCGTCAGTTCTGTTGAAGAAGGCTCCGCAACTTTGTCATTACAGAGGGTTGGGCCGAATTTGTTTAAACGCCATGGAAAAATGAAAGGATGGGTGAAGTCTGTTTGTCCTAAGAAGAGATCGGGTTCGAGCTTTGTTGAGAATTCAATGTTTTATTTATTTTGACCAAAAATGTTTAGAGGTTGATGATCCTGGTTGTGTTTCTTGTCTTCCTTTTAAGAAACATAAAGGGATTGGTACTTCTTTTCCAACTCAGGTGTCTCCTTCTGGTTTTTCTTCTTAGGGCTTGGTGGCCTCCCTTTCAAGGCCACAAGGAGATAGATGAAAATTGTGTCTTGGAACTGTAGGGGTTTGGGTTAGGCGGACTCCCCTAAAGTTCCTTACATCGCGTCCTTAGTCCGCTCTCATGGTGTCGATATTGTGTTTTTAGCTAATACTATGGTGTCTGTAAATTCTGTAATGCAAAAGTTATCATCCTTGTCTTTTTCAGGGTTTGAAGGTGTAGATTCAGTAGGCCTTAGTGGTGGGCTTTGTGTGTTTTGGTTTTCCCCAATTGTGGTTTTTTCTCTTTTGGTTTCTTCGCTAGTATTGTGTGGAATTGTGGAGAACTTGGTTATAAAGTATGTTCTTTTTCTGTATGGAGCTCCTAACGTTACTGATCGTATGTCCGTGTGGTCCAAAATCTTTAGTATTATCGCTAATTATCCGAATGTTGTGTTAGTTGTGGATTTTAACCAGGTTGAATATTTATCGGATAAGGTCGGAGGTAATCTGGACATTCCGGGTCATCATGATTTTATACAATGGAAATTGAACAACGGTTTACTTGATATTCCGTTTTTAGAACCGTCTTTCACTTGGATAAATGGGAGAACGGTTTTGGACCCCACCTTTGAGAGATTAGATAAAGCTTATGCTACTTCCTATTGGCTTCAGGATTGGCAGGCTACTTCTGTTCATCACCAGCCTATTTTGTTTTCAGATCATGCAGTTATTATTTTATGTGACTCCTTGCCTGGTGGTAGATATAAAGGCCTTATAGAATTGAAAACTGGTGCCTACACTCTGTGGAAGTTGCTGCTATGGTTAAGACTATTTTTGCTGATCACATTTCTGGGTCTCTTATGTTTTCCTTGTCCAGAAGAATCTGTGTTCTTCGTCATTGTCTACTGGCCTGGTGTGTCTCTCACAACAAGGAGTGGGGCATTGATAGGAAAACTTTGGTTGTGGATGTTACTAATGCTTCTTTAGCTCTTGATTTTCAGAATAGGCGGTGTTTGTTTAGCACTTTTAGGATGGGAAAGATTGCGGAGGCGCAGGCGGCGTTTCTTTATTGGAGACAGCGAGCAAAAGTGAAGTAGGATGCATTTTGTGATGAACATACTCGGTTACTATTTTCAGCAGTTTAGGCTCGACGCAGGAAGAACACTATTCTAGGTCTTAAGGACAATGCCGACTCTTGGGTTACATATGTGGGAGACATTCGCTCTTTGGTTTTGGATTTTTATAGGTCTCTATATAGTAGGCGATCAGATCGGCCTTCTGTTTCTCAGTTCTCTTGGGATTCCCTTAATCTTCCTTTTTTGTCTGATAGACAACGTCAGTCCCTACTAGTTTCATTTTCCGCTAATGAGATTAAGCAGGCTATGTTTAGTATTGGTGATGGTAAGTCTCCGGGGTGATGGTTTTCCTTCGACCTTTTTTCAAGACCTATTGGACTGAGGTGGGTAGGGGTGTTCAAATCCGGATACCCAGTTTTTTGGGTACCCAAAAATGCGGGTACCTGTATTACCATGTAGTTGAAGGGTCGGCCCATGTCCCGACCCGAAAAACTCGGGCACCCGCGTTTTGGGTACCCGGTTTCTTACCTTTTTAAAAAAAAAAATCAAATGTTGATATCGAAATTAAACATCCAATTGTTTGCTAATGTTGTCGAGTACATAAACAAGTTCAAAAACATCTCAAGAACAAGGCTTATGCCACATTGATAAATTCAATATTTCTAACAAAAAAAAGAATGAATATGTGATATAGCTTGTTGGCGTTGATATAAAGACAATTAGCCTACTGGACACTTGGACCGTGATCTATTTCAAATAGATATGCTACTGATCAATAAATTAGACTACATTTTCCAAAAATCAAAATCAAAGTTCTTAAAATCAATATCCAATTATGAAAACAGCAATGTTCAATCATTTTGACAGGCATTTGAACACTAAAAAAGCGACTTACCATATAATGAAGAGGTTGGAGAAGAATATTACTAAGATCTAAAAATTTTAGTACATGTATATATGAAATTGAAAAAAAAATTAACTTTAGTTTTATGCAGATTAAATTTAATGGAGATATTGTAGTGTAGTTGTGGCGGTGCGATACGCCGAAGAAGAAGAACCACATGAAAGATATAGAGAGTGGTTGGAATACAGTGGAACAAACTAGAGGTTAGAGAATTAGAGAGGCATAGCGGCTAAATAGTTTTTGAAGAATAACATAACTTAGAACGAAAAAATGAAACGTTAAGTTTAAGTGGGCTGGCTGGTTAGGGAAGTAAGAAAATTAATACGTATTATTTTTTTAACGGGTATCTGGGTACCCGAGAATAGCAAAGCTTGTCCCATGTCCCAGCCCACGAAGTTGTTATTTTAGCGGGACGGGTACCCGACCCGGAAAAAACAGGAAAAAAATCCTAATTTCCCATTGGGTTTTTTGCAGGTCATCAGGAAATCGGGACGGGACAACCGGGTCGGGTTTTTTTAACATCCCCAGAGGTGGGTGATCATGTTGTGAATGCTTTTCAGTTCTTTTTTGCTCATGGCTATTTGCTTAAAGATCGGAACCAGACATTCTTAGTTTTGCTTCCTAAAGTTGATCACCCTGAACTTGTTTCTCAATTTAGAACGATAGGACTATGTAACGTCATTTCTAAGTGCCTTGCTCGGCATCTCTGTGGGATTCTGCCAGACATAGTTTCAGATTTTCAGAATGCCTTTGTCCCTGGTAGGTTGATGTCTGATAATTGCCTAATGGTGCATGAGATCCTTTTATTCATAAATGCTTCCAAAGCTAGGAAACGTTTTTATGCGGCCCTAACGTTAAACATGAAAATAGATAATGACAGAGTTGAGTGGGACTTTCTTAGTTAGGTTCTTCAGGTTTTTGGGTTTCCTCCCTATTGGATTCATTTGATTATGCAGTGTGTTTTTACGGTCTCTTATCAAGTACTAATTAATGGTTCTCCTACTGAGGGTTTTTGTCCTCAACGTGGTTTGCGACAAGGAGATCCTCTATCTCCCTACTTGTTTGTTCTGTGTATGGAGGTTCTTTCAGCATGCTTCGCAAGGAAGAATTTGAAGGCCTTTTTCAAGGTGTTAAAATAGCTACGGGGGCTCCTACTATTTCATACTTGTTCTTTGTTGATGACTCCTTGTTATTCTTCCAAGACTCTCCTCATACGTGTGAACATGTAATGAGTGTGCTTTCTGCATTTTATGATGTTTCAGGTCAGATGCTGAATTTGCAGAAGTCGTTTGTCAAGTTTAAACCTAATACTCCTGAGGATTATCAAGCTTATCTGTCTAGCTGTTTAAAGATGTGGTCTGAATCTATATTGAGTTCTTATTTGGGAATTCCTGTTTATTTGGGTCGTAGTAAATGCTCTGAGTTCGGGTTCCTCTTAGACAAGGTGGCTAAGCGTTTGGAGGCCTTTGCATCTCTACAACTTTCGCCGGCGTCTAAGCTTGTTATCATCAACTCAGTGCTCATTGCATCATTTAATCACATCTTGTCTGTTTTCAAAATTCCTGGTTCTATATGTTCAAGAATGGATAATTTGTAGCTAGGTTTTGGTGGAAGTCTTCTTCTTCTAATCGAGGGTTGGCTCTTCGTTCTTTGTCTTTGCTCCATCTTCCGAAGGGTCTAGGATGATTGGGGATTTGCAGTATTTCCCCCTTTAACTCCTCATTGTTGGCCAAGCAGAGTTGGCGGCTTATTCAGTGCCCTCAGCTGTTGGTGTCCCGTCTTCTGTTTATGATGTATCCTGCTCTTAGTTCCTTCGACTCGATCTCGGCTTCTCGTCCCTCCTGGGGTTGTAGGGGTCTTATTTTGGGATTTTCCTCCTTGTCGAAGGGTCTATTTTGGGAGGTTGATTCAGGTTCTCGAGTTCGTATTTTGGAGGATTCTTGGGTTCCGGGGGGACCAGTACATTTCAAGGATCTTCCGCCTGAGTCGGTTTGACCGACTCTTGTGTCTTCTTTACTTGATCCGCGTTCTTGAGCGTGGGATGCTACTATTATTCACAGGTTGTTTGATTCTAGCTCTGCTGCTAGAATTCTTTCGTTGGATAGGCCTGTGCGGTTAATGGATGATTTTGTTTACTAGAAGTTCACTAGGAATGGTGTTTTTTCAACGAAATCAGCACATGTCCTTCTTTGTGAGCCTAGGGTCATGCCTAATATTCAATTTCATATCTCTCTCGCTTGGTGGAGGGCTTTACCAATTCTTCCTCGGTGGAAAATCTTTGATTGGAAATTACTGCATGACGCTCTTCCTTTAGCGGTTATATATTCTCCATTCTCAAGGCCTCCTAGTTGATCCAATTTGTGCTTTTTGTCATCAAACAGTGGAATCCTTGTCTCATACATTTAGAGATTGTTCAGCTATTTGCAGTCTTTGGCTATCTGGAGCGTTGGGCATTCAATGGGATCTTATGCAATTTGCTCCATTTATTGTTTGGTTTTCGACTACTGTTTCTCACTTTTCTTCGGTGCGATGTTGGAAGGGAATTACTTTGTTATTTGCTCTCCTCTGGGCGATTTGGATTTCTCGTAATCAATTGAGGTTTAGGAACGCTGTTTGGTCACCTAGGACAATTGTTGGTTTGGTGTCAGATTGGTTTATTCGAAGTATGCAGGCTAAGGATTGGAAGAGTTCTTCAAAGTCTACGAGTTTGGTGTGTATTGAGACTAGGAAGGATGTCCAGTGGCTTTGTCTACGGGGGTTACCTTATATTTCTCCTACGGCTTGTTTGATTGTAGATGGGGCTTGGGATTGTTCTTCTTACAGGGTGGGAGCAGGCTGGATAGTTCGTGATCTTCATTCTCCTAAGGTATTGGGAGGAGGTTGTCAGGCTTTTATGGCAAACTCAGCGTTGCAGTCTGAACTTCAGGCTTGTGTTTGGGGTTTAGAATTTGCTATCCGAAAAGGCTTTTTGAAAATTCGAGTTCATAAAGATTGTGCTTCCCTCCTTGCTCTACTTCCCCCTTCTGATCCAATGGAAATTTCAGCTTGGTGTCTCATTCAGGAGTTGCAGGCTTCAGTACAATCTCTTTTGGTTTGCCAAGTTCGAAAGGTTCCCCGTTTGTGGGTTACTCCAGCTCACTGGTTGGCTGGTTGTGCTCGGCGACATCATTTGCTGTATTTTCAGTTTTAGTTGACAATTGTTGTGTTTTGTTGTTTTACTTTTTATTTGATAGCTCTTTTGTCACAAAAAAAAAAAAAGTTGTGTGCATATCAAGTGAGTAATGATGATCACCTGTTCGATGATAGGAAGGTATCCACCAACATCAGGGGAAATTGTACCACGTTCTGAAATTCCACCCTCACCTCCAACTCCAACAGGAATATCGTCACGACCCATCATAAATAATAAGTCGTATATTTGATTTACAGCATGACCAGCATTCGTCCATGAGTTTGTATTGATTGTCACTGCCTACATTTTATTACAAACTAGGTTAGAACCCGTGCAATGCACGGTTTATATAAAACATATTTTTAATTTGCACATTTTAAAAATAAATGACTATTATGATTTTCATCGAAATTATGATATATATCTATCCAACGTCGTCCAATTCATAGTTCAATGTGGGATATCATTTATTAGTGCTATTTAAAATTGTTTCAATTTCGTACGATAAATTGATAGGTTTTAGTTGTAATGTAGATCTTCTAATATTTAAATTTAAAAAATGTTAAATATGATAGCTCTTTAAGAAAACAAAAAAATAGATGACATCATTTATTGCATTTAGGCGGGAATTTTTTTAATAAGAAAGCGACACGTGAGTAGTGGTGACGTCAGCATCTTCTGTTTTAGTAATAGTTAATAGATTTTTTGGTCAATACCATTCACTAAGTCAGCTTTCAGTGTTAATTCGGATCTTGAGTCGAGTTTGGTGAAATTAGATCGAGTCGTGACTATTTTGTAATAAAGTTATGCTAAATTATTGTGTTATAGTTATACTAATGATTTGAATTAGGTTTTTTCGAGTCACATTGAAACGAAAAGTATATATATACTCCCTCCGAGGAATTTTAAAGGGAGAAATGTTATGTATTTTTAAATACATAATTAGATTAAAATATTCTAAAAGCACATGGTAAAGAGAGAAAAGTGGAGAGAGATAGGAAGATAGAGGTCAGTTGGTGGACAAAGGTTATATTGATCCATCGAATCTTCAGTTGTATTATTTATGCATATACTCATATTAAGTAACACCGAATACATATATAGTATCACCATAGGTTCAGTGGTATTATTTTATCATCCAATGATACCACACTCGTACATATATGTAATTACATGAATGTCCTTCCTTGTCTAAATAAGTGTTACACTTTGACCAACCGTTTTTAAATACTTGTTTCGCTTTCTTTTTTCGGCCGTTTTTAAATATTTTCACCATTTTCTTATTTATAAAACTTTAAAATATTTTATTCATTTCTCTCATCTAATGGACCCAACATAAATCATGTTTTATTAATTTCATAATAACTTTCCTTCAATTCTCTTTACTACTTTTGCTTTTTACAATTTTTTACTCTTCCACCTACCCTATTACCTTTATATTTTATTACTTAATTCAATTTCTCCTAAAATTCCGCGCACAAAGAAATGGAGCAAGTATTTTAAAATGGGGAGATTACATGATAGTAAATTCTGAATTTCTGATAATACCTTCGTGTGATATGATATGTTGGCCAATCAAAGTACATATATATGACTATTGACTAATATGTTTGGAAAATATCAGCATATCTGTACAGGACACAAATGCACAAGATGTGACACTTGTACTCTATGAGTTTGGGTATTGTATTAATCGTGGATTTTTAAAGGTAGGAATGTAAATACCTATGATTAAAATATTCTATATAATACATACATATGGTAAAGAGTGAGATACGTAGAAAGAGGTTTGTAGGTGGACTCCACCTATTTTTTGGTCAAACTGTCTCATGTGATGGAGGGTCACATGCTGATTGTTGCACTGTAAGCTTATATAATACCATTGAATATTTAGTGGTACTATTTATACATAAATTTAGTATAATTAAATGCATATATAATACCACTACTCCATCACTACTATTGAGTATATGCATATATAGTGTTATCGTATGTCCAGTGGTATTATTTTATTATCCGATGATACCACTCTCTTACATATATGTAATTACATACGAAGTAAATAACCGTTGTTATGCATTTCCATTACTACTTTCCCGTATTAATATACAACTTCTCATTTGATTCAATTTTTATCGGTTACATTTTGACTTTACATGTCTATCAATTCACTTGTTTAATTATTAATCTTTCATTTAATTGAGAGATATTTAAGCATTTGCTCACTCTTTTATACGAAGTATCTTATAAACAAGATTCTAGTTTGCTACCACTAGGCAACAATTGAAGGAGGAAGGACTTCTTTCCTATTTTTCAATTTTTTTTTAAACTATGTTTTTAAAATTAAAAAAAAAAAACTAAACATTATTAACAACCGTATTATTAATTAATACTTTAAATATCTTCAAGAAAAAATAATTAATAACTTTAAAAGCTTAACCATGTGCATAATTATAACTCAATATATGGTTGGTAGCATCAGAACACACGTTGATGCCTCAATCATCTACAAATTTATTAATTTTATCAAATTATTTTCGAAAAACATAGCAAAAGAGCAGAATGATGATGATTATAACTTATAAGCAATGAGCAAAGCTTGAAAAAAATAAATAAAAACAAACCTTTAAGTCAAACTCTGATCTGTTGAGCTTCAAGAGGTAAAGCAACGCGAACAAGTCGTCCGTATCAACATCTGTATCGACCAATATTCGACGTTGCGTGGCCGCCACCGGTTTCGGACTCACTCCGGCAGCTACAATGATCCATAGAAGTAACAGTAATACCAATGAATTATTACTTTGACACATTTTTGATTAATAACTTGCTTGACAACTACTGTTTTACTTATCAAACTTTTTGAACAAAAAAATTAGTCATACTTGTAACAAACAAGTTACAAATGTTAGCTTGGAAATAGATGATGACAAATCTAGGAGCGTAAAGTTAGCTGTTTTATTAAGAAAATATGGTAATGGTCAAAGAATCATAAAAGCGAATAATAATAATGTAGTTGAAATCTTTATTTATTGAATAGAAAAAAAGAACAAGTCAAATGGTTGAAATGAAAAAAAAAAAAAATGAGGGTAACATTGGAGAAATTTTTTGTGCTTGAAGTCTTTTTTGATAGTGGCGTTTAAAGAGGAAGGAGATCAGAGAATAAGAGATTAGGAGATGAAGAAATAGATTGGTACAATGTTCTTGGTTAATGAGAGGTGGTGTATATATATATATAATATAACGAGATAATTTATTATATCATGTTTCTTGTTTTCCAATAAAAATACAGTAAATGAATATCTCATTAGACTTATTTTTTCCATGTACTCCATATAGTTTATTAAATGTGGACTTTCTGGGAAGTTTACAGGTTGTTTGAGATTGATAGTTAGGTAGGACAAAATCTGAACTGTTTTATTTTTTTTTATATTATTATTTTTTTTTATATGGGTTTAGGATCGGTGGATTTTGAATTCACACATGTCAAAAAAAAAAATTATTATGTACGTACATCCAAAGATATATAGAGGTAGGTGTATCTAAAAGGGCTAACTGACCATATTGGTATAAAAGTTAACACCTTTATGACAAATTGGTATAAAAGTTATTGTCGGCGACATATTGGTATAAAAATTAACATGTGGTGACATATTGGTATATAAGTCAACAAATTGCGACAATTACCCCTATTTTCTCGTCGGAGGATATGCGTATGATACACGCGCTGAATTTTAGTGCTAATAACTTTTATTTGACATTTTGTTTTTTGTACTTTTCTCTACGTTTTATATTAATATTAAAAAAATTATGAAGTAGAAATCCAAAAAAAAAAAGTTGAAAGCCCAAAAGTGATGAGAAAGAAGATAGGGGAAAACGAATAGGAAAGCTTGAGCAAAGGGATATAAGCTTGAATGTATTGAGGGCGTTGGAGTCGTTGGTCATTGAAGCATCACAAGGGTAGATTCTTCTTCTTTTTTAAAAAAAAAAAAACATTCATACATATATTTTTTCTTATTATATTGTTGATTTACAAAGTTGTGGGTATAGTACAAATGAAGTAATAATGAAAGTTAGCGTCTACTAGTAATTGGTTTTGAAATTAAATAACTAATATTGCAATTTTGTCTATTGTTTATTAGTTCTTTGGGGTTTTATCGTTTGATTGATTTATCAAAGTTATTGTATTGGAAGGGAAGAGGGAAAAATTATTATTTGGTGCTGAAAAAGTATATTATGATAATAAATAAGATTGCAAATGTAATTAAAAGAAAATTTTGAAATATACAACACGCTCTTTCATCCGAAGAAAAAATAGGGGTAAATGTCACAATTTGTTAATTTATATACCAATATGTCATAAGGGTGTTAACTTTTATACCAATATGGTCAATTGGCCGTACCTAAAAGTGGTTTATTTTGCTCATATAATTTATTTTTTTGCTCATTTTAAATTTTAAAATGAGCCAAAATGGGTGCATCTTACAACAGGGTGTACATAAATTGTTTACAAACTAGCTCTTTGTTTCAAAATGACTGATCCATTTTTAATGTCACACAAGATTAGTCCCGTGCTATGTTTAGTTTATAAATTAAATATATTAGTATCAATCAATAATTCAATAATATAATACTAAAGGTGAATCTGACATGACACTTGTCATGTTCTGATAAAAAAATTTCAAGCAACTTTTACTTTCCTTTTTTTTTTTTTAAATTAAAATCTTCATGAATATAAATTTCTAATTCTATAATATTTAACTTTTAATTTGACAACTATATACATTGTATATTCTCTCTCTCTCTCTCTCTATATATATATATATATATATATATATATATGATCAGACTATAATGAGAATCAATCCTATAATAGCAACTAGGAACTAATCTGAACCGTCATATCTAACACAAAAAAGGCACGCGATCGACGGATCAGATTAATTACGCACATTCAATTCATTTCCACGCGCTTTCTCTCTCCTCAGCCATTTTCTCTCTCCTCCATTGCAATGAGCTTTCTCTATCAAATTGGGTATAATTTGCTGTAAAATCGTCTAGATTTTGCTGAAATTGCTTCAAATTCGTCAAGATCTTGTTGGAAATTCAATTTTTCTTGTTTAATTTGGTGAATTCAGGAAATTAATCTGCGACTCTGAATTTTGAGCGGCATTTGAGGTAAGTTTTTTTTTCTTCTATTTCTTAAATCAACGAGCTTCATCAATTTCATAGAGAAATCGAATTTTAATTTACAATTTGAGATTATGATTGATTATAAATTACTTTTAATCGTTTCATAAAAAGTTTAATTTCTTTATTCTTTGATTTATTAAATTTTGGTACTATTTTAAAATTTTAATTTGAATTAGATTTATAATGCTGTGATAATCTTTGAAGATTATATAGTTTGAACTCTTATTTATGCAATTACTAACTTATTTTAGTGTTTTCAGGTTGAAATCTGCTGAAATTTGAAGTTGTTCAAAATGAAGTTGCGAGAGATTGAGGTTCTGCGTAATTGAAGGTGTTTAAAGTTGAAATTTTAAGCAAAATCGAGTAATATTTCTGAAATTTACTACATAGTATCAATTTTTTGCTTTTTTGTTTCAGTGATTTTATTGTTGAATAATTTAATTAGTATAAGTGAAGGTTCTTAATTTGTAACTTTGCATATCAATTGTTCGATGAAATTCATGTGAGAGATCATATATATATGTTGTCTGTTAATGGTGATTAAAAATCTTAAACACATTTGATGTTCCATCAGAGGTGCATTTCATTTAGATAACTTATTTAATCAAGTATAAATCTCATAAAAGTAAACTAAATCTCTCTTAAAGTATACTAATCATCTCTTAAAGTAAACAAATGCATACAATGAGGACTTTTTTATGTTTGTTTGTGTCTTTGGTGTTGGGTGAGTGGTCTGATAGGAACTCTATTGTGTTTAATAAGCAATGGCAGAATTGGGATGTTGGAGTTATGGGGTCTGTTTAACAGGTTGGGGTCGCGGAATATTAAAACTGCATTTCATTGATAAAAAAGAGCTGGGTTTATTTCATTGATAAAGCAATGGTGTGGTTAAGCTGGCAGTAAGATTGATGAGAGGAGAGTGTGGATTTTTGTGTAGGTTGAATTTTTATTCTAGAATCTGTAAAATTATTAGTGGACTCGAATATAATTCCATAAAAAGTAAACTAAATATTTTTAATAGTAGATTAAATTACTCAAAAAGTAGATAATCAATGAGTTTATGGTTGAGGTTTTCCCCCTGTAATAAGCAGATAGAAATACGATAAGAGTAAATCAAAAAGGGGGTGCTGGTATGACCCTTCCTATAGCTTGGTCACCACCTGATGAGGGGTGGGGAAAGCTGAATGTTGATGCTGGAGTTGTAGAGGAGTCATGGGCTGGTCTGGGGGCAGTGTTGAATGTGACTGTAATGGCTCGATTCAGGGTTGTTCTGTGGTGCAGGGTATCGAACGATTGGAGACAAATGTACCTGAAGCTACGGCTATCATATGAGGTATGAAATTTGCGTATGACTTGGGCGGGAGAAGTATTATTGTGGAAGGAGATTGCCTTGCTGTCATTCAGGCTTTGAGAAACAAGTCAGTAGGATCAAGCTCATCTACTTGTATAGTTTTGCTCCAACTACTAGTGCTTCGTAACTATAGATCATCTTCACAATTTATACATCAAGTAGTTGTGCTCATGATTGTGCTAATGAGAGTCATATCTGTGAAATTGCTATTAGTTAGAAGTCTTATTTGTGTTGCATCAGATATATAGAAGGTGTCAACTTGATAAAAACAAATACTAGTAAAAATAATATAAAGTAAATTAAATCTAATCTAAAGCAAAAAAAAAAAAGACTTTAAAGTAAACCTATTAGCTCAAGTGGTAGAGCGCTATGCGGATGCATAGAGGTGTAGGTTCGATTCCTACATAGGTTCTAAAAGTATATAGTAGACACTTTAAAGTAATTCAAAACATCTCAAAAGTAAATAAAATTAAATTAGCTAAGGTATACAAACAAAAGAGCTCTTTTATTATCTTTGTAACATGAAGTTAACTCAATCTTATAGTGGACACACCTAAGGATGACAATTCAATCCGGATCCGACCCTACTCCGCCCCGATCCGAGGCAAAAAATCCGCTCCGAGTCCGAGAAAAAATTAATCCGAGTTCGACTCCGATAAAATATTTCGAATCCGAATCGGAGGAGGGTCGGAGTCGGATCCTATAAAAAATCCAAGAAAAAAATCCGACTCCGGCGGATGTCCGACTCCGACTCCGAGATAATCCGACCCATAATCCGACTCCGACTTATATACAATTTTTTTTGGGATTTGTGTAACTGTGTACTCTAATTTATATATATATATATATATATATATATATATATATAATGAGGGGATATAATTAATTTATTGTAATACTTCTTTATTGTTACGAATCAACAGTATAAACACAATTTAGTTGCGTCACATTATATGATTCATTAATCATCATTCAATAGTATATTTACTAAAGGACACACCAACAATGACACGTGTCATTTCCTGGTGTGTCCCTTATATTTTAATTTTTTTTTGAAAAAATCAATATTTAAAACTTTAAGTTTTTACTAATTCACAAAAACATAAACATAAACATGTATCTTTAAAGTTATTAATTCAGCTTTATATCTATAAAGTCAATCACGTGCTCAATCGACAGAGACCAATCAATAGTTAATTCTTGATCAAAAGTTTTAAACATTTACTAATTCATAGTAACACAAACTATTTATAATTATTAATTGTACTTTATATCTATAAAGTCAATCACTCCATCAATGGAATATAATTTTAATCGATTCATAGTTTAGTCTTGATCTTAGGCTTGTTGTCTTCAAGATCTTAGGCTTGCTGTCTTCAAGTTCCTGTTAGGGAACGTTCCTGTTAAGGAACTCAGTTCTTGTTAGAGAACTTAGTTCTTGTCAGAGAACTCTTCTTCTTTTCTGTTAACTTTTTGTATAAAGATCTCCTTATGTCTTCTTAGTTCTAGCTACTTCTTCCATCACCACGATCAACTTCACCTAAACTAATCAAAAACTTGAAAACCTTTATTAGATGAGTTTGCTTTAGTTTAAGTTCCTCATCATCAAAACCTTTAAGCTTCAACAATTTTCCCCTTTTTGATGATGACAAACTTAAGCAAACTCTTGAGAAAAGTTAAACAAAATAGAAGGTCGTATTTTTGTGTTTTTGATTTATTGACATAAAGTAAACACACACTGAAATAAAAATAGAAGCAAAAGGCAAAAATAAACAATGG